AGGGAGGTGCTCCAGAGACTCCATGAATTTTTCAAGTTGTATCTTGTTAATCGCCTTGCCCAGTTTGTGCTGGGCTTTCCTCGGCGTAGTAGATTCCCCATCGTGTGCTGCCAGTTCTGCAACGGTGGGCTGACGCCTTCCGGTTTCTCCTGTCGGTTCTAAGGCCCACTCAACCCATGACGGGGGAAGGATCCCCTTCAGAATCTCCACCGATATTCCATGCTCCTGGTTGAGTTCTTTGATAGCGTCCCCCATCCGCTCCACCAACACGGTTCCCGGTATCCGAACTCTCACCGACTCTCCCAATGGACCCCGTAACGCGGCTATAACCGCAGGAAGGGTGCCGACTAGGTTGCCCAGAGAAGCTGAGAACCTTCGCATAACGGCTGCTGGTAATCCTAGTCCTCCGGCTCCTGTCGACAGGCGCGCCTGGGCTTGTTGATAGGGCTTTAACTTGAAGCGGTCAGGCTGGCAGTCGTCTTGGAAGAACTCTTCTTCGTCTTCGGTATCTCTGAGCCCCATCGTTGCCTCTAGGACCCACATCACCATATTGTCCAGGCGTTCACAAGCCCCTCTCACTAGCTTATGATTGATGCCTCTCTCGATATATCCGGATCGCTGTGTCAGCGATTGTGATGTGACGAGGTGAGCCACCTGTTTGTCTGGCATGCGCACCAGCATGCGAGCAAGCTTGTCTGCACCCCCTTCAGTTATCACTTTCATTGCGATATCCTCGACGTAGGCATCCGTCCCAATGGGGACTCCCACAACTGTGATGCCCTCCTCCGCAATCGGTAGGCCTGCATCGCCAAGTAGCCTCCTTTCTGCTGGCGTCACGTCGTGCCCTGGTGGGGGAAGCGCTGAGCTCTTCCCCCTGTTGACGATGATGCCCACAGCTTCTAGTTCGTCGACGAGGTCCGGTATCACCTGAATATTTTCCGCTGTGATATTTTTGAAGTGCAGGCTGATGTCGTCCATATAAGCTTTCAAGCATACCCCGAGGTGGTCGTACTTGGCTCTAAGCTTCAAGACGATCGGGACTAGGATGAAGCAGAACAGGGGCGGTCCCATTCCATCTCCTTGCTGCACACCGCTCTTGCACTCGATCGTCCGACGCTCTCCGGAGTCCATCGTGTATATCGCCTTTGCCGGGATTTCGTCGTAACACCTGGCGATGTACCCCACGAGATCTGGGACGCTCTTTGCGGCCTGGGCCATTATGGCGGTGCGCTTGCCCGTGTTGAAGGCATTTGAGCAATCCGTCTGGACTACCCAATGACCTGTCTGATGAACCAGTTGTGCGTCCATCGCAACTTGTTCAACTCCTCCAGCTACCGCCACTCCGAATTGGTCCGCTTCCCGAAATATTTCTTCCAGTTTCGGTTTCCACTCCCTGACCGTTCCCGCTGCAATCAGCCTTCTCCAAGTCATTCCAATGCACACTGGACGGCACTTTTCACCGAGGGCGATTAGACTGGATTGTTTCCAAAGAGTCCAGAACTCCGGTGGGAACGCGTTGGGATCGTTGATGAGCCTCCTCCAAAGGGACGACATCGCGTTGCTGAACTCTTCCCGACCAATTTTAGTGTTGACGATGGACTTAAGGTGGGAGAAACGTTGCCCGTCATTTCCTGCTCCAGAGTTAGAGCTTCTGCTGTTGATGACTTGAAGGAGTACTTGTGGATCGAACTCGGTTTCTGGCCTCCATCTCGGGGCGCTTCCTTCCTCCTCCTCGGTGCGGCTTGCAGCTATGGCTTCGGCGATGGCCTGCTCCACTTGTACGGGATCCTCATGCGGAAATTTGGCTTTCAGACGTGCCCATGTCTCGTCGTTCCCCGGTGACGGTTGATCGGCTAGGAGCGCTCTTGCTGCGTCCTTCACGCCTCCAGAGTGCCGGCACGCCCTCGCCGCCCTTTTGAACTTGTCGTCGGGTGTGTCTTCCCGTGCCGGTCCCCTGCTCCTTGCACTCGCCGCCTTGGTATACTCAATCAGCCAAGGAAGAACGGACGATATATCCCCTCTTTTGAGCGAGTTGTAGCGTTTTTTTCGAGCTATCCGACCATCAAAGGAGTGCAGAATACCTGGTAGGAGGTACCAAAGTTTGATGACCCGGATAGTGGAAAGTGGGGTCCCGGTCGCCGAGGAAGCTCCGCCGCCTTCTGCTAGCTGCTTGTTAACAAGGTGGAGCACGTGAGTTTGGAGACGGGCATGGTCGGAAGCAAACCTAGGTTGAACTTTCTTCACCGTCTGGAACCTGAGTGAGAGATCATCCATGCTGACATCGTCCAAAGCAGGCCCTATTCCCGGACTGTCTTGGTTCCAGATGTACAGCGGACGTGCTCCGTGGGGTTCGTCGTTTAACCCCCTTATCAGTCTTTCAGCTCGTAGCTGCAGCCCCGGGTCAGCTTGAACCGCCGCCTCCAGGCTGTCCCTCCGAGAGTGTTGGTCCCCGCACCCGTGCACCCTACACTCAAGCAGCGCGCGTTCTCCGCGTCCCTCCAAGCTAGTTAGTACGCATCTTGCGTGGATGGGATGCCCGCAAGTGGGTTGCACCACACGGTGTCCCTCGATGACCTCACCCGAGCACACTCCGCATCTGGTACTGGAACGAGGGTGCTCGCTTCTGTTCCCCGTGGCGCCAGGTTCCATGCTTCCTCCAGCGTCCCCGTTCCTGGTCGCTCGGTCATCGGCACCCGGAGTACCCGTTCGTCCCGATTCCCTTCCCCGGTGTGTTCGTGCCGGATGTGATGGCGTTCCTCTTTCTCGCGACTCACCGTCTGGATCCGGTTCACTTCCCTGCCGGCGTCGCCTGTTTCCGCCTTGAGGTGGTTCCGAGGAAGTTCGTTGACGTTCACCCGATGTAGTAGCGTCATCCGATAATCCGCTACCCTCGCGAGCAGATGGTCTGCGCCGCCTTGGCGTTCCTAGTGATTGGCTTCTTTCCCCGGGTCTTACTTGAGGGCTCGTCCGACTGGTGGCGTGTGCTGTTGTGGATGGGTTTCTCGGGGACAACAATCCTCCTTCCTCCTCTGGGCCGCTTCCCATGTCAAAGCCCGGGTCGATGCCAACTCCCGTCACCCTTCGTGGGGCCACGACAGTCGGGGTCACTGTGTTTCTGCTAGTTTCGCCTCCTTGGTGGGGTGGGACATGGTGTTCATCCCAGTCGTCGTGGCGCCGGGCCACCCCCCCTACCCGCGGGAATGGCGGCAGAGGTTGGCCGGGGTTGCGTAGGGCGTTCTGTACTGCTACGGTGTATAATGTGAGATGCGATTCGCACTCCTGGTCCAGGTGCACCAGGTATTCCTGTACGTGTGGCGCAATGTAGATTCTGCCCCGGGGGAGCCGCAATAGCACCTGATACGGCCGTATTCCATGGGCGTAAAATGTAGAGCGGTATCTCTGGACCAACCGGTCCCACCCGTTGTCCTCGTTGCGGCCCCGAGGGAAGTATATGTACACGCTTCTGTCCATCCCGAATACGTCGCAGAACAGAGTGACCAGGAGCCAGGAAGCCGTCTCACTTCTCCCGTGGGCCCGCACCACACTCTCGAAGGAGTCGAAATGCCCCGCCGGGTCCGCGCCGGATTCGAACATAGACCATGTCTCGAAATGTCCCTCTATCTCGGATGCGAAAGACACTGCCTCCCTCAGGAAGTCCCACCGTCCCCCGGCGTGCGGCAGTTCGTGGTTCTGGACAAGTTCCGCGGGATGAGGAGGTCGTCGTCCGTTCGATCCTTCCTGCGAGCAGTTGGCACATGGTCGTGGATCCACGCGTCCGTGTGCTATCTGGTCGGCTCTGTCCCACAGGCAGTTGGCGTGCACCGACCCGTGGTGTCCACACGGGATCTGGATAGGCTCGAGTCCCTCGGCCTGTGGTGGTGGCCCAAAGTGGCCTCCACAGCACGAACACGGTCCGGTGCTACCGCCTCCGTTCGCGCCGGTGAGTTGGGGCCGTGTGTCGGGGCGGAATGTCGCGTTTCACCTGCTCGATCAAGGTCGCGCAATCTCTCACGAGCTGCGACAACCCTATCCTGCAAGGTTTCCCGCTCTCCATCAGCGAAACTCCATGCCGGGATCGTGATGGCTACTATCTCTAGGAGGCGGGGCCAAAAGACGTCGCGCCTCGAATCGTGCATGGCTGGATTCGGGCACGCCACTATCCTAGAGCTGTCCGACGGCGCGGTAGAGGGCAGGTGGTCCTCCACGAAGGTCATCGCGCACGTAACATGTACCCTGCATGAGCACGGCGCGGTGACAAGCGGGCGTTGCCAAGCCCCGTTCTGATGGCATACGACACAGACCCCGTCCGTCGCCCCTCGCGGAGCAGGCCTTGTAGTCGGAGCAGGTGGCGACGGGCCGGGCGAAGGAGGAGGAGAAAGTGTGTAGACGTATGTGGACGGGGCCGGCGATTCTGTGGGTTGTCTCCTCGTTCCGACGCGAACCGACATGCGCGGCCCGAAGTCTCGCAGCTGGCCCATGATTGTTTCGATCCGCGCGTCTAACGCCCGCTGATCCGCTTCGTTTTCGTAAAAGTTGAATCGGGCGTGCGCCGGGAGAACGACCGTTGCTTGGAAGCCGTGATCCTGTCTTGTACGCTGGTGCGGGCACGAAATAATGTCGTGTCCGCTCGCCAGGGCGTCGTGCAGTTGATGTTCTACGAGCCCCACCGCGCATCGAGTGTGGTGGTGACATGCACAGGGCGGAGAGATGGCAGCCCCCTGACCTATTGATTCGTGACAAACTCAACAGAGATGGCGAGGCGCGCGCGTTTGACTCGCCTCCCGTGCGGTCGAGCGAGCCACGTCCCTCTCCGCTCAATTTCGTGTGGCAATAAGGTTCATGGCGCGATTTCGTGCTAAGCGAGACTGTGAGGTCAGCCAATGAGCGTCCCACTTTCATCGCTTGTGCCGCGTACCGCACGCGGCGCAATACAGCACACAGCACACACAACCTCCGCCACTCGTGGTCTCGGTGCAACCCTGGGGGACAAGAACGGACACATGTCTTGGGAACACGATGCGCAACAGTACGGCCGACAACTTCTGCATGCAGCCTCAATGCGTTATAGCATTTTCCTCCCATCTCTCTCCGGGGAGGACACGGCGAAGTGCACGGTGTTGGAGGCCGCAGGTGGCGGCAATTGCTCGCTTCACAGCATCTACAGGCTGCTGCACCCCGAGCGAGATACGGTCGTGGGTGCAACACCAGAGGAGATAAGAGAGACCCGCCAGGAAACGATAGATGAAATGACAGCAGTTGCTTTCACTGAAAACTACGGTCAGTTACTGGACAACAAGGTGTCCGAGGAAGAAATGCTGAGATTGTCCAATCTCGACGTCGACAAGGGTTTCTACCGAAAGCGCACCTCCTCATCCGGTCGAGCTACAAGACGCAAAACAGTGAAGACTGTGTGAGAGGTGGTAGAGGACATCCACAACCAACTGGGGTACGATTTTTTGGCGGTATGTCAGCTGGCGTTAGCAGCTGAGGTGAAGGAGTGGAATATCGTGGTCTTGGAAGCAAAAGCTGGAGCTGGGCTTCGAATCGTGGAAGTAGGCAAGACCACGGGCTGTTTCATCGGCAATCTTTTTGGGAAGGATTTTCTGCACCTGGTGTACAATGACTGCGGGGGCTACAGTGCAGATAGTTATGCTGAGGGTGCGGTTACAGTGCGCAACCCGAGCAGCAGCAACGTGGCGGAAACAAAGCTGAACCACTTCAGCGCTATCGTGATCCCACAATAACTCGTGCCATGGGCATTGCCGTACATGCTCGCACGGGGTTCCTCCCGCGAGATCGTTTTTGCGTATAGGAAGGCTGCAGACGATTATTGCCCGTGTCCAACCACATCGGACAAGCGTTCGACGAATTACCGGGGCTCTACCATTGCTCTCGATACTGGTGATGATGACGTGACCGAGACAAACAGCAGCGTGCGATCTCTCCGTTCTGCTGAAGGTGCCCGGTCAGTCACAACCTCACCCACCGGCGTATCAAAGCCGGACGCGCCGCCGAGGAAAGCGGCGATCAAGCCCGCCACACCTCCTTCTTCCAGCAGCATGTCGGCGACGACCGGGGCGAATGAGACGCCGACGCCGGCGGTAACGCCAACCAAGCTCGCCAGCAGCAAAGCGCACGAGCTGTTTTCAGATGCGGCGAAGTCGGAGACGCTAGAGGGACGTGCTGCTGGCGCAGATCCGTCGAAAAGAAGCATGGAAAGCGCAAGCGCCGCGAGACTTGCCATGATTTGTTCGCCGGCGGGAAAAGGCAAGGGCAGCGCTGTGGGGCCGAGGCGAAATCTCGCTGTGGTATGCTCTGTAGCATGCACAGTAAGATGGGTGGCCAGAACCGTACTTGCGGTACGGGTGGAAACGGCAGTGATGACGATATGGAATACGTACAGGAGCCTGAGGGGGACGAGGAGATGAGTGACGGGGGTAGCGACGGCGAGTTCCGGGGCCTTGACAGACCATGACGAGCCGTCCGTGACTATCGAAAGTCCTCAGCAGATCAACGCTATGTTGGACATGATACCGGAGGGCTTGGGAAAGGCGACCTTGAAGCTCGTCTTCGAGTTGGTGCACCACACACATGACTTCCGAAACGACCGCAAGGTACGGATGTGTTCATTGATATTTCTAGGAGTTGTTTTTTTCCGGTTAACCCTCGCCGCTTTCCGGTGTGATGTGTTGTCGTTTGGGACCACAACGGCAGCACGAAAGCTACAGAGGTACGACTTCGTTCGGCGAAATCGAAAGTTTGGTGTACACGGAGTATTGACATCAACTACGCACACCACCGCGCGTCGGGGGAGGGGAGGGGAGGGGGTGTACTCATAGTCGTCATGCCGTAGTCGTTAGACCATTGACCTCGCATCCCTACAAAGCCGGGACGGAGCACGCCGGGTTCTCACCGGACCAGGCTCTCACATCACCAAGCGCGAAGCGCCGTGAGATATTCGGCGAGTCGTATGAAGGGTGCGCTGCATCCTGCTAAGGGTGTTCGGCATCTTGTGCTTTCTTCCGTGCGTACGGCCGACAGCTGCGTGTGACTTAATTTATTTTCTGGTGCATTCACTTCCAGAGACAGTTGTAAGCACTGTGT